AATGCTATCTTTCAAAAGTATCTGAAATAAATACAAATTTAGAACGACTGCCTTAATTTAGGATAGCTTTGAAAACGCTGGAGTTTGTATGGCAAGAAATAGTTGAGAAACAGTAGAAAAAACACTTTTGCATGTTTTTAACTGAATGCAGAACTGTTGTTTTAGTAAGTATTGCTTTAAGAGCTCAAATCACTATGTGTGCAGGGAGACAACTACAAAGACTATTACATTGTAGTTCTTCACTATCCTCAGGCTCAGGTGGGCTGGCACAACTGGGACACTGTCTTAGCAGCAAGAACTGGCTTCCACATGGGCTTTCATGCTGGAACTAGTTAAAAAAAGAGCAAAACAACACAATATTTATTTTATGATCATTACACGTTACTGGGTGCTGTCACCATTTTCCTTTCATGAACCCTTGAATTTTTTAATAACTGCAACAATGGTCTATTATGTTCCCAGGAGGGGATTTGCACAATGCTTATGAGAAACGAGCAACACACTAGAAATGAGGGAAAGATGAGTCAAGCAACACCTGCTCACGAATTAGATGTGAGAACAGAAGGACCCTGAGCACACAGCTCAAACAGGACTGCCCTGAACACTACCCTGCTGCTGCCATACATCATTGTCTCTTTTATTCCTGCATTTCGGCATGGCTTTCCACTCAGAGCTCTCTCTACTGGGTTTGTCCAGCAAGATCCCCACAACACCTCACCACCCAGCACAGAGGGGATCGTGTCTTACTCTCCTGTAAAGCATTCGAGACCTTGCAAGGAGAAGCTAGGCTGAAGTTACTCCCTTTCCACAAGCACCTATTTGCTCCACCTACTGTGCAATACTAACAAGTTAAGTCAAAACCACCCACTGAAATGAAAGTGTTTTAACAGGTCCTGAGCAGGATGTTCTCCCATAGAACAGGCAAGTAACACTCAGAGTACAGCCAAATACTAACCCTTGATTGGGAGGGAGGGACCCGAGAGCTGTTTGATTTTAAGAAGATTCCCTGTTTTGAGGGTCCTCTGATAGGAACTGAAATGCCAACTGCTACTGAGGTAATCAACCTGCCCACAAAGCTCAGCAGGGCTCTGATTAAAGGGAAGGCCAGACTGTGCCAAGGTGCAAACTGATCAGATGGAGCCGCTTATAAAAATTCATCCTTATGAGCACTTAGGGAACAATTCTCTGTAAAAGCTTTGGAGCGTTCTATAAAGAACGAAGCTCCTGAGTCCACACCAACCATTTCAATAGTCCTGATTCTTTCTTTTCCTTTAATTATTTTTATGACTAAGAATCACAACCAGTCACTGGTACAAGGCCCACTCAGAACTAAGGAATCCAAGGAGCAGGTGACTTTAATTTACAATTAACATGTAACATGCAGTGACTGCCTGAGTGTCCACATGAAATGGCCAGTTTGTTGAGTAGTTGTAAGGCATGGCTATAAAAAAATACATATTAACACTATGATATCTTTGCTGAATCACTACATAAACCTACAAACAACAGGGCATGAAGCATAGGGACTGGGAATTAAGGTAGTAAACACACACTGCATCCATCTACCTACCTAGGCAGGTACTCACACCAACAAACCAGCCACACTGATACAGCCCAGGTCAACACCACTACATTAAATATTACAGCAATGAAAAGTGCAACTTCACCATTTCTCTTTTTCCTACTAAAGACATCCATGGGGAAATACCCTTGCATGCACCAAAGCCAGTATGATTTCAATTCCACCCACATCTGGGCTCACTTGGGAACTAAATCCAGCACAACCCATCTTGGGTCAAGCAGTGACCCTGAACAAAAATAGCTCTGGCAAAAAGTTGGATTTATTGAATAGGGTGGAGCCCATCCAAACCTGCCACTTGGAGTTAATGACGGAGAAGCAACAATTTCTTCATTCTGTTCAGCACATGATGAGCACAAAGGCAACTCGTGCCATCTACACAACATGACAAAACACAACGAAAGATAACCAACCCTTGAACAGGTCAGAGCCTCAGCTGTAATTTGGGTCTGTGTCAGCAGCAAGTTAATTACCAACTCCAAAGCAGTAAAAACAAGAGGAGCAACATGCGCTAACCCCAGAGCGAAGCTGGGTCAGCAGGCCAGGGCCTCAGTGCTACTGGCAGCATCAAACAGGGCTGAGCAGGGTTCAGCAAATTTACTGAAAAGCCACACTTTTAACAAATTCAGCTGAGCTCTCCCAAACATCCCAGTGCAGACAAGCCAGGGGATGAGAGCATGAGGGTTAGAAAAATTAACAGGATTAATTTTCTTCAACACAAGATCATTCTGCTCACAGCACAAACACAAGACAACCTTGAAGGGCAGAACTCTGTCAGGGAGCTGCAGGTTACAGCCAAAGCAGCACAGGTGTCTGGTACAAAAGAAAGTGGAGTTCGAATTGGTATCGTAAGGAAAAGCCTGGGTTTGGTACCACTGTCCAGGGTATTGGACTCAAAGGTGTGTTAGATGCAGCAGGAACATCCAGACATCCTCAGGCACGACCAGCATGCAATGAGACAAGAAAGAAGAAATTAATCAAACTACATATCAGTTGTTAAGGATCCAGAATTGCCGCTTTTCATCCTCTGTTTTTTAAGGATCTAGAATTGCTGTTCCAGTCATCAGCAAAGTCTACCAGTGCAATTAGATTCCTAAATGCAACCAACACGCCACCTTGATTTTTAAGTTATCTAACAATACTTTTCCAAAGCTTTAGATTTGTAGTACACATTAACCAAAGAATAAAACTTCAAACTACTACATGCAGGCTTCCTCCCAATTACATTGACTTTGTTTGTGAGCCTTCTGTAATACAATTAGAGTGTCATGGCATGCATAAAAGAAATACAAGTCTAAGCTTTCAGAGGCACTGCAATATTTGTTTAAATTTACTTAATTTACTTCCTCATGTTCAAAGCTCAACAGTTCACATTATGTTTTCCTCTGTATTTAAACACAAATGCCCCCCCTACCCACAGTTAAATCCAAAACATGGAAAAAAAATAGTATCAAATACACTGGCTACTGTTATAACCCTCAGTGCAGGATCCCAGCCCTGATCTTGCAGCACCACAGAACACGGGTACACTCCAATAGCCACTTCCGTAGCACAGAACTTCTGAGCACTCAGTGGCTGATACAGCCAAACCCTCAAAATCTTAGAGATTTCATGCAGGGGAGACATCATAATTACCTGAAAAAGCTCAGTTTTCCCTGTCCTCAATAGCTTCCTACTAGCTGAAGAAGCTTATCCCACCGCTGCTCCCTTGGCTATGGCCAGAGGTGCGTCCAACAACTGCACAGCTCTGACAAGTTGCTGATTTCAACCTTCTCAACAGAAGCGTCAGGAGAGGAACAGTGAGTAAAGCCTTCGCAAAACTGGGGACACACACAGAGGACACAGCCAATACGTCGTGTTTCTATCCCAAAGGCTTCCTTTTGGTGATTACCAAATCCTTGCACAAGCAGGGGCATAAGAGTTTACCAGGAAGAGCTCCCATGAATCTTTTATAACGGAAAGTGAAAGGCAGCCGCAGAGTGAGGGTCCCCACCGGCTGTGCTCCCATCAGTGCTGCTCAGGATTTAGCTGTACTTCAGAGAGGATGAAAGCGTGGATCCTCCCGAAGCTCATCGCTGGGAGGGACATAAAACCATAAAGATCACAAACGTTAACGCAGCGCCCGGGCACGGCAGCCACGCTCCTGCGGGCTGCAGCAACCTTGAACCTGGGCACTTTTACTGCCCTTCTCTCCTGCCTCCACCTCGCCCGCGCGGCAGCACAGCAGGCACCTGCCAGAGGTGTGCGAGGAGACGGAGCAGGAGACCAGGCGGGTTTTCCATGGGGGTGAAAGGAGGCCGGCACAGAGCGCGGGGCAGGGCTGTGCGCTCCCCCCGCTCCCTCACACCCACTTGTCCCTCCGAGTTGGCTCCGTCTGACGGAAAACCCCTGGTTTGTGCCGAGCTGGCTCCTCTGCGGTGCTCCCTCACCTCACAGCGGGGCCGCCTCAGGTCGCTAAACCGGCACACCCGCGCCCCACACCCGGTGACCAATGGCGTGTGGAGAACGGGGCAGACGAGGTCCCCCAAGCCCTCACCCCCCCCCCGAGGCGGCAAAAGGAACGGGGGAACGAGGGACGGGGCTGAGGTTCCACCGCCCTCCCCGCCTCTCGCACCGACCCGTCCCTGCCGCACCCCGAGCACGCACCGCAGACGGAGGTTCGCCATGAACTCGGGCATAGTGACGGCATCCATGAGGACGAAGTCGGCTTTACCGAACTCCAGGCTCTCCTGCTCCGCCATGGCGACGGCGCCGCCCGAGATCGCACCCTCGAGGAGTGGAGCGAGGGCCCCGCCTCGCGCCCGCCGGCCCCGCCCCAACTCAGGTGAGGCGGGGCCGGCGGGCGCTGAGCGGGCGCGGGGGCGCCCCCTGGCGGCCTGCCGAGAACAGACAGGCCGCCCGCCCCGCCCCTCGCCCAGCGCGAAGGGAGGGAGCGAGAGAGCCACCTGCTGGAGAGAGGCGCACACTGCGCCCATCGGTACTGGGGGGGTCACATCAAGGTGCTGCGCCAAAGAGGACCCCCCACACCCCATGTCTGCATCCAAGCACCCCCAAAGAAACACCTTGAGAATGATCCTGAACCCCGAGACTCTCCACTGTAGGGCGGCAGGTCCTGCACCCAGGGGTTCCCCCCAGCCACCACAGGACCCCACCACGCATCATCAGATCCTGCACCCAGCACCCCTGGGTGCCCTCCCAGACCCTGCTCATTCTGGCTCTTAAACAATCCCCAGAAACTCTCAAATAAATGCGGAATAAAACCAGGCAAAAAAAAAACCTGTAGGTGCCCTGAGCCCTGCTGTCCTGACCTTGGTCTAATCAGATTAATGATGCTAATTAGGGCAAGGAAGGCTGGGGCCCTGGGAGCAGGCCCAACCTCACCAGCAAGAGCTTTGTGGGGAAGAATGGCTGGCTGGGAGCAGGAGCTAGACGTGCAGGTGTGAGATGGTGGAACCATCCCCTTACATGTCGCAGTCTCCATCCCTACAGCCGGGTGGGTCCCAAGGTACTGCAGCCCACAGGTGGAAGCAATGAACCCCCCTGGATATAGGCAGTGGTTCCCAGCTCTCTGTTCCTGGGAAACACAGGGCTGGGGCAGCTTTTAGAGGTGAGCTGGGAGGAAAAAATGTTCCCCCCCAAGTACTCTGAATTTCCTTATTTGTGCTTTGCTTTCCTGGTGTGCTTTCTCTGTTGAGCGGGGTGTGTTCTGGTCTTGCTTCATGCAATGTGCTGAATTTTAATTTGTGTTAGCACAAGTTCCTCTTTTGCATGATGCTTATTAAATGCACTGGGAAATCCAGGCTGAGGTGGAGGTGCTCAAGGTGAAGGCAGTGCTCTGCTCTCCTCTTCCTCAGCAGGGCCACAGCGAATGTGAGCAGCAGCGATGGAGCCTCAGCTCCTTGTCTTCCTGAGGAAGAAGGCAGCAGTTGGGTGTGCCTGTCAGCCTCCTCCGCCTCTGTCCCCGCAGGCAGTAGAAGAAGGTTGCTTATTCCACCTATATCCACAAGCTCCTAAACCAGGTACATTCTCATTAGGCTTGGGTGCAACCGCTGCTTTCCAAGCCTGGATGCCTGTGTGTTAGCTGAGTCTGGAATGTTTTGACTTAAAAGTTATGGTGGATGGGGCTGGGGGAGCCCTGCCTGGCCCCTGCCTGCAGCAGCCCTGCCAGTGCACGGCTGCACTGATGCTCTCTGGCTGCTCTCCCCACAGGCACGGTCCCCCGGAGCCTCCTGCCTGGTGGCTGTTGCCCTCGCCAGCCCCTGGCTGCTCGGGGCCGTGGCGCTGGAGGCCGCCCGGTTGTCCCGCTGTGGCAGGAGGCGTCACCTTAGTCACCAAGAGGTTCTGCTGGCTGTGGAGCTGGTGCTGCTGCGGGAGCTCTGCAAGCTTCCTGCAGGACCCTCGAGCTGTGAGCTGCTGCTGAGGGGAGAGTCTTGAGAGAGTGTTTTAATGTGGTTTTGATAAATAAAGTATTTATTAGCATTATTTAATGGAGACTCCTACCTGGGCTGGCAGCTGCTGGGCTTGGACCACCATGGAGCTGGTCCCTGTGTGCCCCAGGAAGGGGGCAGGAGGGAAGGTGCTCACACCTGCACCTTGATGGGTGTTTGCAGAGCAGCCTGCAAGCGCATGAATGGTCCCTGGAGGTCTGCAGGATGCTGCCTGGCCAGAGAAACCTCTTTTTCTCTGCCAGCCCAGGCTGCCTGGGGCCTGCCAGGCACCTCTTTGCACCAGATTTGGCCAAGAAAGGAGAGAGGAGGAAAGACAGTCCTTACTCCAAATCCTGGGAAAACATCAAGCTTGGAGAGCAGCAGCATCCCCTGGTGATGCTGTGTTGGGCTGTGGCACTGAGTGACTTGATTCCAGGCTATGGAACCTCTTCACTGCAGCACTGCTGTCTAACTTCTTTAATGCCCCTAGTAATTGTGTAGATGATCTCTCCAGCCTAGAAGTAAAACTGAGCCTAGATTCACGGCCAGCTCTCTAAAGGAAAGCAGCTGGAGCAGAGGAATCACCAGGGAGGTTCCTGGAGAGCAGGCCCAGGGCAGCTCAGGAGAGCAGATGTTATCAATGCTGCTTTCTCTTATCTGAAAACCTATATTCTTTCACACTGATGCAGCTGTGTTGGCCTCCTGATGCAGACCCAGCTACAAGGTGCTGATGCCAATGCAGCCTCAGTCCTAACTGAGTGGACCCTCAGCTCTCTAGGATCCATGCCTCAGTCCCTTTATTTTGCTCTTTTTTCCCCCTTGTTTTGCCCTTACAATCCCCCTGGGTTTAGAATCCAGAGTTCTTGTGTTAGAAATAGGGACCTGAAGCACAGGGAGAATTAAGTGACTTTCCAGAAAAATCTGCTGGGTGGTCTGGTTTGGGGGAAGAGAGAAATGTGTGACACTGACCCTGTGGCAGCAGTAATTCCTTGCGCTTGGGCAGCCCCTGACACAGGTTCACCCCCAGCATGGGCATGATCCCCCTGCACCAGACCCCAGCAGCCACACGGAAAAGCCCCTACTGTTGGTTCTTCTGCTCTTGCACTCTGTTCTCAAGTGCAACCTCCTCCTCCAATGGGAAAACATCTGGATGTAAAGCCTTGATGCAAAAATTGAAAGCAATGAAGTGCCCTGTTGAGGCTGCACTCACCATGTGGACACCCTTTGAAAATCCTCTCCTCTATTATCCCAAACAGCAGCTTTGGTAGAAGCAGGAAGATGAACCCCAAGTAACTGGGCCTGAAAGGGCTTTTCAGGATGGGTTTTTTCTTTTAAGTTATGCTGCTGATAGAAGCCCAGACAGACTGAAGAAATTAAGGGGTTAAACATGAGGTGCCTTTTTCAGTCTGCAGGTGCAAAATTAGCAGAGCAAGGCTGCTCTCCTTCAAGAGCTCTGAGGGAGGACCTCAGCTTTCACAGTTCGCTACTCTAAAGGACGGACTTGTGCCATTTGAGTTGCCTTTGCTCAGGATCACAATTGCCTTTCCGAAAATAACATCTGAAACCAACCCACGTCTCATCTGCAAAACACAGCTGTGGGTTTTACAGCTAAGGCTGGACACTTACAAGTAGATGATCCTAAATTAGGCAGCAAACAGCTTTTGATAAACAAGCAGTGGAGCTGCTTCACACTTGAGCGTAGAGCAGTGGTAAGGATAGGGAAAAGCCATTACAAGTTGCTGTTTCTTGTCCCATGTGTCAGGAGCATGATCCCTGCCACTGGCTGCCGCAAGCTGAGAAACTGCAAATGGGCTTTGGAGCCTGTGCCTGGGCAGGAAACCTGTCAGAGAGCCAAAGCTTTTAGATGTTTGGCTGTGTTTAGCCTATCCACAGAAATGAAGTGGGACAGGACTGGGGCTCCAGGAGCTGGAGTGAGCTGGGTGAGAGGTGTCAGCCATGTGCCTGCTCCAGCTACTGGCAAAGAGCTGTGTCGTGGCCAGCTGGTAGCTGGGGACAGCAGAAGGGATGTGGCTTGATGCCACTCTGCCCATGCAGGAGTCAGGTGCAGCCAGGGCATGAGGTCCCCATGGATGAGGGGGTTGTGGGGGCTCCAGCATCCCTGCCTGCCCATGCTTGGGTCCAGTGGGGTGAGCTCGAGGCGTGCAGTTCTGCCCAGCGCAGGGACATGTCCCCTGTAGGGCAAATGATGGCAGCTGTGTGCCACAGAGCACTCGAGTGCAGTCAGGACGTTGGTCTTACAGTCCACCCAGGTGGGTCTGGACACACCATAATCACATCTCTGGAGCACACCAGAGACTAGGCACAGGCCGCCCTGAGAGCTGGCTTCTCCCTGAGATGGAAGGGTGGAATTGAGGACAAAACAGATACAGACATTGCTTGTAAGGATGTTATCTGACGCCTTAACTAATCATCTGCCTTTAAAGCACAAGTTTTGCTTTTTGTAAATTATATTGATACTTCATTTCTTCTTTTTTAGCTTCCTCTGATAATTCTTCTATTTTATTCTGCAGGTCACCTTCCCCCTTTCTACAATTTCACTGCTGGTAAAGGAGCCCCACGGGCCTCCGCAGCATCAACCATTTGTGAATGGACGCTGTTCCCTCTTCTCTGTTTTTCCAGAAAGGGAAGTAGGAAAAAGCCCTCCACATCCGATCAGAATTTCCAGTCTATCCCATGCACAGCAGTGTTATGGTCTCTAGCCAGCGAGGAGGATGGGAAGCTGTAAACAAAACTAAATATTGAGTTCCCAGGCTTTGTGTAATTATACAAAGTGGATGCTGTGTATATGCCATTTTCCAGGAAACATTACAAAGACAGAAATGAGACTTCCCAAGTCCCTAATGTGACTGATGCACAAATAAGTAGCTATTTGTATTGGGAGAACATCACTGACATCCCTTTCAGGACATCCTATAGAACAAAGCAGATAAAGGAGCCTTTGCTTCTATTAAGGGCAAATCTTTCCCAAACATCTTCCTGAGAATCCTCTTGAGGATGTTCTTCTTTCTGGGAGGAGAGGGTAGAAGAGTTGGAGGACTGAGAGGCAGCATGTTATGCGACTGCCTTGTCTCTCAGCGCCCAACATGTTTTCTCCTTCCTGGAGAGGAAGGAACCTGCCCTAGGGCAAAAGCCTCACTATGAGCCACTTTGTACCTACATATATGCTTGTGATTCCCCAAGCTGACAAGAGATGGGAATCCAGCCCAAACCACCAGACTCATCCAAACAGAAGAGAAACCTCTTGAGGTGTCCACCAGTTCTGACTGCAGCTGATTTTCCAGCAGCCTGGATACAAACGTCATCCCTCCTTGCCTGGAGATGCACTGTGAACCTGAAGAGCCAGCCTCGACAAGCACAAAAATGATGTAAACCCAGACTGACCACTGAAATCCCGACCTCACACAGTGTTGGGGGGGTCAGTTGTGCTGTTACCCCATTGTATGACATCCAAATAGTTTTCATTAAAACAAGTAGAGAAGCAGAGGAAACAGAACTGGAGGAGTGCCCCATGCCTTGATGGATTGTCTCATCGCCCTGTCCCAACACAGGACAAGTGCGACTTAAACCCTTCATGATGGATGTTTGTCTCATCTGTTTTTTCTTCCCCCTGAAATTTTCACTAATGAAGACTTCCCATCAGACAATCTGTTCTGGCGCATTGCTGTATTTACATGTAGCCAGTCCCCAAATGTCTAACTAAAGCTCTCTTACCGCAGCTTCATCCCATGATTTCTCATCCTTTCCAGGCAGACACAGAGGAGAGTTTACTCACTTCTTTTTATGGCAGCCTTTTATTTATTGGAGGGTGGTTATCACAGCAGTGCAGGAAGCGCAGCTGCTGAAGGAGAGTCTGGAGGTCAGTTAGTTCACAGCTGGCTTGTCTTCCCCCAGGCTCTGCTCCTCTGCACTTAACAAATCAGTTTGTTCATTCTTCCCTCATAGATCACAGTTCCTACATTTCCACTAATCCCTGCTGCTAACAGAAAAGTAAGGCTTTTCAAGACCAGTCATAGGAAGGAAGGAACAAGCCCCCACTCCTTGAAGGTGAGGAAGCCCTGTAGGGGGATCCGCCAAGGGACTGCAAACTCTGCATGGTATCAACATAACTCAGGGTGTCAATCATCCATTCACCATCAAACGTTCTAGCAAAAGGGCTCCTGAGGGCACAAACCTTCCCAATCAGTCACTACAAAACGTGCTGCAACTCCCAACTGCTGCAAGCACAGCAGCCACCAGCCTGCAGCAACCCTGGCTGTGGGAGAATCGTCCCAGACGTGAGTCAGACAGGAGCAAGGCCAGCAGAGCCTGTTAGCAATGACCTTTCATCCTCCTGTGCTCCAGTTCCTGGGAAAGCTATGAATGGCCATGTGGAAGAACCAAGAAAACCGTACCCAAAATCAAGGGCTAGAGCTGGGTGTAGCTTAGGAGAGATCCAAAAGAATTACAGCAGCCAAAGAGAACTCCTGGATGTCACCTCAGCAGTGTCCAGCTCTGTCACCATGAAAGAGTTTTCCCTGGGCCTTGGAGCACAGGACTTGTCTGACTTGACTTCAGCGAACCTGTGCTGGGCTCAAGGAAGAGTTCTGTGGGTTTAAACAAGTGAAATGATTGAGTGCATGCTGTTAGTAAGGGTGACAGTGAGCCCCTTCACACGAGAGCCGGGCTCCGGCGCTCCAAGTCCCACCAGCCATTTCCTTCGTGTCTCTGTGCACACAAGGCAGCCAGAGCTTGGTGTCAAGGACATAAAATGTGTTATGGAAAGGATGCAAGGATGCTGAGTTTGATCTAGAAGAACCCAAAGGCCAAATGGAAAGCAAACGAGAGATGTTGAACTGCCATCAGTTCCTGCCAGCACATTTCTCCAGGTCCCTCTGGATGGCAGCAGGACCCTCTGCTGTATGAGCTACAAGACCGGTTTTGTGTCGTTGGTAAACACTGTGCCCCATCATCCAGAACATTAATGAAGGTTTTTTTCCCTGCAGGAAGCTCTAGGGAAGAGTAGGAGCTCCTGTTTATGTTAGTAGGAGTCAAGAAGAGGGTACGGGTTTGCCGTGCTCCAAAACCAGCCACAACCACCTGAGTGTCACTGAATGAGTCCTACCAACTGCTCAGCCAGTGACTCCTACAGTCTAACACTGCTCTTGTTCCTGCTACAGGCATCTGCTTCCCAGTGTCCCCATCCCTCTGGATTGCCTTCTACTCGGGACACTGGCACTATGCAGATGTTGTCTTTACACTGCTTACCATGTGGAACTGTTTTCAGCCACAGTAAATGGGAAAGCATTTATCCTTCCTTGGT